TATTATTTCTATAAAAAATTCATTCCTTGTGGTTTTGGTGGTTAATGGGTTAAAGGAGTAAAGGTTTTACCCATCATTTTATTATTCAAATAAAAAGCATTAACCCTTTCTAGACTGGCATCCCATATATGCATTCCCTAGGAATGTCTCTTACAGCTGGGCATGCCACCCATGCATCACTGGAGAATGCACATAAGGAATGGCTTATGAATAAATGCATTTTAAGTTGAAACATTTTTCAAAGATGCACTGAATGATGTTCTGTGTCCATTAGTTTTGAACTTAACACAGTTTTAAAATCCTGACCTTCAGTTTGATCACTTTCTGTGTAACCTTGGTGTCAGCTGTTCCAAATGAGGGAGGGAAGCATCATATAAACAAACAGAGCTCGGGCTCTTTAACTTGCCATGTAGTGCTTCTGAAAATTATTCCTCAACGCAAACAATTTTTAATATATTTTCATGTAAAGGAAAAAAAAAAAAAAAAAAAAGATCATTAAATGCTAATTTTAACATATATGACAGCTTAAGTAATAATCTAAAATGGCATAAAAATTATGACATCAGGACAAACATTTTTTTTTTTTAAATAGTCTTAGCGAAGTAAAACCCCCATCCTATGCAGCAATTCCTTTGGACTCCCATCCATCCTGATGGAACATCTTAAACAAAGGCATGCTGTCTCGAAAGGGTTAATAAACTATATGTGTGAAAATCATATTACTCATTAATGTTTGTGCTCGAATCCAAGGGATGGCAACATTTGAAATCGATTTACCAGTCATGCAAAATATATCCTGATTACAGACCTCCTACTTCATTTAAAGTTTCTGTGAAAGATAACATCTCCATCTTACTCTTTCCTCCAAATATCACATCCATCATTTACCCAATGGATATCGGAGTTCCACTCAGGCTGAAATGCAGATATAAAATAGCTTTTTAAAAATATATGGTAATTTTCTGAATTGTTGCAAAACTATTCAGGAATTTTCAAGATATTTTAGCATAAAATCTTCTGTGTAGAGCATTGCAAGGTCACGGGACCATGTGTCTGCAAGTATTTAAAAAAATGCCTAGCATAATTTTATGGTCAAATACCATATTTACCATACCATAATACCTATGTTAGAATAACGGTGTATATAAATCTAATATACAAGGTGTCTCAGTACAGCGGTGACAAACTTTCAGGAGAGATAGAGTATACCTAGACGATGGGAATGGATACACATAGCAATGCCTATTGGAAGCTTCCATAGCGTAGTGATGAACCAATTAAGATAGAAAGGGTGAGAAAAACATTTCTTATATGCTATACATTAGAACAGAAATAAGAACAAAAAAACGACCAATTGTATAAAGAAGGTGTTAAGACCAAATACCTGACATTAGACAGGACCGTATGTTATGCATTTCAATGATTGGAGATGTGAACGGCCGCCACAGTCCAGGGTCGTAATATCGAACACCTTGTTGGTGAGATATTGATCTATTTTGTCTTTTTCTTGTTTCTTCTGTACTCAGCATAATAAACATGTTCCCACCCTGTTCTTGTCCTTCTTTTTGTGATTGGTGTCATCACTCCGCGACATGGAAAGCGTTCTGACCTACATTGCTATGTAATCCCCATCTAGTTGCCCTTCTCAATCCTGAAGTTTTACGCTATTACTATCACCTGAATTCCTGTTGGCACTTTCGAGACATGAAAAAATGTATTTGAATTTGTCAATTGCCCAGTAGAACGGGATATAGAGAACTTCCTTTTTTTTTTTTTTTTTTTTGTGCAGTGTATATGTGATCAAGTTTATTATTACCACATATTACTGGATACAAATATTATTAATCACATACACACACATATACAATGTGAATGTGATAAGTAATATGTATGTATATGATTGATAACATGTAATGAATATTAATGCAATAAGAATAGTATATACATTGACATTTTTAGTGCAATGTTTTATGTGTTTTCAAGTTAGGGACTAGATTTGGATAATATTTGATTAAAATACAAGCAGTTGTGGATGCAGATTTTAGCTAGCTAATATATCAAATACGCCTGTGATCCCATAAAGCAGTTACTTGCACTTCTTCAAAACAAAACGCACCTACACACTAACGAACTTCTTTTCTGCAAAATTAATTTCAGAATTTTATACTAAGTTACCAAACAAAAAAACAAAAAGTTTGAAAGATCTCAAATTATGCTTCTCTCCCTCCCCAAAAAGTAGTGAATTTTCTATAAACTAAACAATTATATTTTGAAAGGTGGAAGGGTTTCCACAAAATATTATTTACAGCCCTGTTGTTCATTATAATATATCATTAGGTACATGTGAGGAATGAATACTTGAAATGCGACTTTTGGTAAAGGGAATACTTTAATTTTGATTTGAGATAGTTAATTCTATAAGGAGGCTAAATGGGTTTTACTAGAGACATTTGAAATTATGACGCTCTAAATTATGACTGAAATTATGACGCTCTAAAATTGTCTCCATTCTGTTTCATTCATTCAATGCATTCTGTTTAATTCTGTCAAGTTAATTTTTACACTTCTGACTTGGTCTTCTGAGATCTTTAAGATACTTAGAAATGACTAGACATCTCCTTTCTAATGCAGCCCCTCTTCTAGTAAAGTACTTTTTATTTGTACTATTTGCCATAAAATTTTGTGTACAGTTCAAAACAGGTTGTATTTATGAATTAACAACAATAGAAAGGATAAAACAGGGCAAATGATTACTTCAAGAAACGTTCTTTGATTGAAATAAGTGTTTCAAATTCCAGAGACAACAGGATTGTCTTGGTTACAAAAAGAGGAAAAAACAAATGGCCATCTTTTATTCCTATGGACACTGTGGCCATTGTATTGATCATAAAGAGTTTAAATTGCTCCTAAGTGGTAACTGCATCTTTGGCCATAGGTACTAAAGCAGTCTTTCTATCTGATGCCACGTTTAACTTCTGAATCGTTCATAAAATATCAACAAATAAATTAATGTCAATTGCATTCTTGTTTGCATGAGCTTTGTGTTGCACATTCATTTTAACTACACTGATATTTTTGTTGAAAATCAGTAAATGTAACTGTTGTAATTTAGCCAGTTTCATTCTAATAATTTCCTTGAAAAATTAAAGAAAAATGTTATTGACATATTTTGTAACTGGAAAAATCATCCTATTTTATCTGACAACAAGTATTGATTGGTGTGTAGCAATTAAGATATATTTGACTGCATGAACAGCATTTTAATTTAATTGGACTATGTTGATATAGCTAATCGTATACCAAATACAAAGAAGTCAGACTTTACTTACAAGACTTGATTTCTCACTAGTTCTTAAAGTCACCTCCAAAGATCTTAAAGCTAACAATTGATCACTAAATTTTGTAGTGATCCTGAGAGCCAATCAGATGCTTGCACCACAAAACAGTTAAAATATCAAATCTGTCACACAGCAGCTCTTTTACGATAGTGGTTTGATGTTTAACTCACTTAAGGCCATCCCCCCGATCGAACCCCATGGTCAATCATCAAGGGCACGAACATTCATATGCTACACTTTTCATCAGTGCTAACAGATGATGATATGAGCAAGCAAGAGAGTCTGAAAGTTACACAAGCAAGCTTCTCACCTTGGGACAGCTACAGTTTAAATATAAGAATGATAGCCATGACCGGAATGCAGAAAGTGTGAATTTGATGGTTCACTAAATGTCATGCAGCACTATCAGAAGCAATGCTATATGGTCATATAACTGCCAACTGCGGGAGGCAACCAAAAGTTCAGATGGGTTCCTCATCATACATCTGAACACTATTGTTAAAAAATACAAGATTATAAACTTAAAAAAAAAAACATTTCAAAATTATGATGAATAAAATCTCAGAGATAGTTTATATTTCTGTGAATTTTATAAATTTGAAAGCTATGATAGAAATTTCAGTTAAAATAATTTAGTAGCTGTATAATGGATTCACATAAATAAATAAATAAATTATGATATATTTTCACATGATTTGATAAAGCCAATGAATGTTTTAATATTACTTAAGCTAACTCGGGTCACAGGTGAACAACACTGAAGCCCTTTGACTTCTTAAGTGCATTGAAAAAATCAAAGTAGTGACAGTTTCAAAGGTCATGTAATCTGTTAAAATTTTAAAGACAGACAATAAATATCAAGTTAATGCTCTTCTTTTGTAACTACAGTCCCCTTTTACAGCATTTTCTATCATTTCAGCCATTTTTTTTATTCTCATGTTCAAATTTCTGTTAAGCTTCTTCCTTTTTAGTATTTAAATTGCAAAAGATTAATAAATGGTGACTTTGAGATATTCATGAATATTTAAAAACACCATTATGTAATCTGTGCTTCTTTCACTCTTGTGAATTTTTCTGTAATAAACTCTGAAACTAGCTATTTTTTACCTCAATTTTCAACACTTTAATGAATAAAAACCATTACAATTTAGCATTTTTAAACTTTTGATCATGGTTCAACAACAAAACAGTACTAATATATCAGGTAACATGCAACTACATGCAACTATTCCATTGCTCAGACGATCGTAATAAATTTTACTTTAGTATGTTGATTAATATGTCTAAATCATGAATAATTTATGCAATTATATATTTTTTTAGTTTTTCAATCAACGAAGTCATCAGCTTAGAGGTTTACAGGTCAACAGGTTTTAGTTACACAAAAGTGGGAGATGGCATTAATTAATGACCATTTTTATAAGACGACTAAAAAGATCGCTATAAGAAATTAAAAATACATATATAGACACACACACACACACACATATATATATCTTTAATGATGTTAAGCTTAAATCTTCATATATAATAAAATTTCCACCAACATAAACTTGCATGAAACTAATTTAGTTCAGAAGTACTTGTTAAAAATATAATGGAAATTATATTTCTACCCCAAAATATCTAAGAAATGGCTTGTAGAATATTTCTACTTTGAACAACTTTAAGTAATCAATGATATGTTCTCACTTTCTGAAATGAATGGCCCATCAAAAGCACTGTTTGTTATTCCACACTCAGGTGCCATAACAGGTTCTGATACAATATGACTAGAAGGAAAAAAATATTCAAGTAGTTTAGATCTTTAAAAAAATTTTTGCTACACTATTAAGCATACAGTTTTAAACTGGCACTAATGTTAAAATGCATTACCTATTTGCATTAATGGATGGTGAATCATTTGGAGGCATAATGTCTTTTAATCTACACCCTGAATTTTCAGAATTAGGGCTTCTAGCATTAAGACCGGTATTCCGATTTCCAATATTATGCTTATTTTTTGCTCTGTACCTAAAGTAATACAGATAATGTATTAATGATGAACTGAAAGTAAATGTAAACATTATTTTCATTAGCTGCAGAATTTCACAAACAGATGTATAAAAATCTTTAATAGATACTTTATTAAAGAGTACATACTTTTCCAGTTCGTCTTGAGAATGAGCAAAAGTACAGTTGGCACCACGAGGGCAACTTCCACGTTGAGTTAAATCTCGGCACATACTTGTTTTATATTTTGCATTTAGACTTTGTCGGTCCTCTTGTAACTTACGACTGCCATAATTTTTTACAAAATCCACTAAACCTTTAACAACAATATTTGTAGCCTTTTGAGCATTCTCCAGATCTTCCCATGATGGTGGTAGTGTATCTAAAAGGCAAAAAAGGAAAAAATTATAACAAGCGATAATAAGCATGTAAATTGCTATAGAACAGCCATTAAAATAATGATGGACCATTTATTCAATTTTTAGGTTCATCCTAATTCATCATATTTGAGTTCCGATTGGCCACCTCAATATCTCACATATCATTTAACCCATTAGCTGCTGGTGTTGCGTTGACGCAACGGTCAAAATAAATGCATCCATAAATATAACTACCTAAGATATTTTATACCAGCCGATAATTTTATATAGGGAATATTATGAAGATTATTTCTGTAAAACAATATTTGCCCTCATCAATCATTTTGTTTATAATAATTAATCTCATACTTTAAACAAAATTTAAGCAAAAATTTCGACCGGGTATTTGTGCTGAAAATATTTAACGAAAGAATAGCCGTCTTTATGAGTGATCTATTTTTAGTCAAGGTCACCGTTTATCAGAACATTACATCAGTCAGATGTTTATATTTGTGCTGGGAAGGAAGGGAAAACAGGTATTTGGTTGACGCAACGTCAGTAGTAGGAAACGGGGTAGTCAATCTCCTTTTCACTCATTCCTTTCAATGTTCTAGTTCATGTTCTGGTTGTTTAAAAATGGTGTAGAACGAGGTATCTTACATTAGAAGAGCCCTTCAAAGATTTTTGATGATGAAGAAACAGATGATGATAATGTTAATAATGACCAGAATGAAACTGATATTGTTGTTGTTCCCCCAGAAATTGCAGAGGCTAGTGACAAAGAAGAAAGGAACGGCAATGTTTTAAATAATGATAATGATATTTTACCAAATGATACTGCTGGGGAAGTTGAAATCCACGTAAGAAGCAAGTTTCAGCCTTCTAAAAGCAGTTATAGTCATACTAAAAAGTTTAAAAAGCAGAAAACTGAAATCTTGAAGTGGATAAAAAAGGAACTGTTAGTTATGTCTCAGGAAGAACATGAAGAAAGAGATAGAAGAGAAATTATAAAAGACAAAAACACAAGGTAAAACTAGTGCACAGATTTTCGATTTTCTTTTTGGTTTACACATTTACTCTCTTCTCATTGAAGAGACAAATATATACGCTCAGTTAAAAAAAAAAAAAAAAAAAAAAAAAAAAAGGAGCCCAGAATTTATTGCATCTGAAGCCTATATGAGAAGATTTATTGGAATATTATTCCTTACAGGATATCATTCTTTACGTCAAGAAAAAATGTATTGGTCTTTTGATAAGGACATTTCTGTTCCTGTTGTATGACAATTGATATCACGTTTAAAGTACAGGAATATGAAGCAGAATTTGCATTTGACAATAGTCAAATTGACAATACTATAAATTATATGAGGTGAGACCATATGTAAACTTACTAAAAATCACTTTTTACTACTGGAAATATAGTCTCTTTTAGATTTCAGACGCGAGAATGCATTATTTCTTTTGCAAACTCCTATTGACAGTGTAGAATTAGCCAGAAATAGATCAGCACCAGGAAGACCTAGTAAATTCAGCATTCAAAAACCATTGCATGGAGATGGTATACATTTTATCGTAAAGTCCGTTGATAACAAAAGACTTTGTTGTAAAGAGTACCATAGCCAGACTGTTTATAGATGCAAAGTATGTAATGTAGCTAGCTTTACATCATGATCGTAATCAAGCTTTTCATGCTTGAATCTCTCAAATGAAATAATCTGTATTTGTAAAAGAAATACAATGCATATTTTAATATTAAATTAATTACAAGTAAAGTGATTTGTAGATTTATAAAACGTTATACAGCTGAAAAGTAATCCTGCGCTCCACTCAAAGAAACATCACACGAGTACAATCCTACTCGCAAACATCCGTAGTCTTATTCCGCTGACGTTGCGCGAACACAACACTCGCTTTTTCCACAGATAAGAGCAATTTTTTAAATTTCAATGTAAATTTATGTTACAAATGCTTAATTTAATATTTGTTATTATTTTCATGAGAAAAGAAACATTCCTTGTAGTTTTGGCGGTTAATGGGTTAACATTATTATATTTATTTGATTAAGGTGAAACTGTTAAAATATCAATTTATTTGATACCAAACCAATAAATCAATAAAAATTCTAAGCACACCTAGCTAGAAAAAATTAAAGAACATCTATAAAAAGGTGCTTTTATGTTGATTCTGTTAAGCGTAGTTTGATGAATGATGGTTGGTTGGTAGCTCAAGCTCAAAAGTTATCACATAGTTCAATGGGATTTGCTTCTGTTACATAGAAATCTTTGTACCCATTATTTAGGCAAGTGTGGAAAGGTGCCTAAGAGGTGCTCCAGATTCGAATTTCAATGATTATATGAGTAACTGAATAAAATTTTGATGTGCCAAAGGTGGAACATATAGTTGAGAAGGCAGCAAATCGTGAGAAATAAGGGCAATTGGAAGAAAGAAAGCAGTACAGATAATGGCATCTAAAAAAAGTCAAAAGCGTCATCTGAAGAAACCTTAAAATGGTTTAAACACACTGATGATATATGCAGACAAAATTGTAGGGTTGAAAATGTGCCTCAACAGAGTCTCGAGATTGTTATTTGGCAATGACTACTAAAAGAAATCCACATATAACATGAGACAAGAAAGTAAGGAAGTTTGCTGAAGTTACAAGAAGTTTACTACCCAGACATACCGTGACACACAAGATGCATAAAAGAGGGCTATACACATAGAAACCCATGATTTGAATCCAACTAATTTGACCTGCAAAATATGTTTGATTGCACCAGAGCAGAGATCATCATGACCGAAGTATCATGCACTGGAGCAAAATTATTTTACTAATTAGTCTCGTTTTCTTTTGAAAAATGATTTCAGATGTGTTACGATCAAGAGGGAATAACATGTAATAAGAATAAACATCATGAAAAGTATCCGTACTAAGAAGGTGGAATCATGGCATGAAGGGCATTATTTTGAATACCCATACATACATACCTGTTTTTACTAGTGCAACTATGAGTGCTGAAATACACAGAGAAGAGGTTCTTGATCCTTATATCAAGTTGTTTATGATGCATATTTCCAAAACTTATCCCACTTTTTTAATTTTTGACATCACGGAAAAATATACTAGTTTTCCTGGAGAATTCTTGCGGCATGCACTAAGCAGTTGAAGTGCGAGACTTTTGCATTAGCATAAGAAGGTATTAGGGATTCTAATTAAACATAGCAGTAATATTCTCATCGAAAATATAACACACTATATATGCTTACACATTAACGAGCGATATGATAAAAAAGTTGATAAATTAACAATATTTGAAAATTCAGACAAGTTGGTGGTATCCTGGGGTATAGGAATTTAGTTAGTGATTAAATATCATATTTAAGTTCTAAAAAGATGCTCATTAACTTAAACAGAACTTAGTAAATTAGTGTATTCACTTGCTAACACTATTAACTATATAGTATGAACATGTGTTCTTTTATATAATTGCATACTTTGACTTGTTTCTGTAATGAGAAGACATCACTCAGATAAAATGTATTTTAATATTACTATCTGCACATAGGATTATACAAAATTCTGAACACTGTAGTACTACTATCAATCTTCAGATGCCTTTTACACTGGAGTTTGCTAATCATTGTAAAATATATCATATTATAAAAATTCAATCACAGCAATTTTGTTAGAATATTTACAGATGTGAATATTCTAACTGAATTTCCTTTCCATTTCTTAGTATTTATTGCATAGTTGATAAAATATTATCTCAACTTAAAATTTTTTGGTTGCTTAAAAAACAATAAAAATTGACTAATCTTCACAGATGAATATGAATACTGTATTCGCAATATTACAAAAATAGCATGTTAATATTTAGTTTGTAACAGATGCAGCTAATGGTACAGAGAAAAAATGTTGAAATAAAAAAAAATCTGCCTGTTAATTCAATAGCTGAATTATTCCTATTTCTGAGAGAAATTGAATTTCAATACCGAAATAACAGGTGAATTTAACACAAACATTTTGAGCCTTCAAGATATAAGCTAAATGTGTACCATAAAATTTTGTAATGAGAAGAAATAATTTGCTTTTATTCCCAGAAATCAAAGAATTTTTGCTGATGAAGATTTTACAAAATATTGCTTCATTAAAACAAATACGGGTATAACAATAATGAAAATATTATTCTATCTGCTTTCTCAGCTAATAAATTTTATGCATGTATATTAAATTTATTCCATATTTTATCAGTAATGAACTTTCAAAAGTTATCATGGAATGTCACTGCAATTCCGAACTGAATTTGGTAATTTACCTTAATTTTGGGTATAGGTAAGGTTACTATATCTAAATTATCAATTACAAGATATTCTTTCAAATAATACCTGACTTTTCATAAAAAAGCACCATTTTTTTTATTTCAGTATTTTTAAAATGGCTTAGAATTATAACTGCATTAATAATGGAGGGGTTTTGGTTACTAATCTGGAACTGAATAGTACTTGAATACTTGTCTACAGTCCTTACCTCTGACAGAAAAACAGTATTATTTTCTTGAAACAAATATCCCTAAAATTCTTTAAACATCATATGTTTGAAATCAGAGTTTACCATAACCTTTGATTGAAGATATTGCTGTGAGATTTATTTCTTTTCACCACTGAGTGTTGATCAAAGAAAACACTCTTTCATTTGCTGCATTACTACTCGGTATTGAGGGAGGGAGGAACTAACAGACTTTTAGATGTTCTCTGAATATTTTAATGCTATTGTTGCTTTGAAAAATTTACATCACTGCTCATTAAGAATTAAATTTTGATCAACACCAAAAGTTGTGACACATTTTTGCACACTGGAAAACTGATCAAAATACTTTATGTCATCCATAATCACACTTTTGCTATATACATATGAAAAGGTGTGCTTATATCTTTAATCACACCTTTGCCTACTCCAGACAAAGAATAAGTTCACAAAACTTTCCAATGAAAACATTCAAAGGTGTCTTCACTTTTGCAC